GGGGGCTGTTAGGCTCCACAATGCATGGAACATCATTGTCCTGTTCATCAATCATTCACCCGCTCACGTGGAGCTGGTGCAAATGGACCAGGGGAAAACGACTCGCTAGAGAAGTGGGAGGGGATGAAAATAAATAAATAAATAAATAAAGCTGCCAAAACGCTAAAAGCAGACAAGATATAAGTGGTGAGCCAGATCAATAGCACGAGGCGGCAGCCATGAGCGGAGAGCGCTGAGAAATTAGATTTGTCTCAGGTTAACTCGGGAGGTCTCGCAGACAAGAGATGGATTGTGTTATAGGCCACTGTGCCCCCTCTTATTGTCTGAAAAGACGGGTAGACGGTTCAAAAAAAAATAATACAAATGTGTAATGCAGCCCCCCCCCCCCCTCCTCTCTTAATCCTTCGTGTCCCAACTCTTAAGTACCTGTGACACACAAAACTATTTTGCCTGTCAAAATGCATTCTCGTCCTCATTACTGACACTGTTACCCACTGATCACAAAAAAAGTGTGTGGAAGGAGGGAGGAGTAGAGGGCGGCTTGGCAGCCAGAAAGAGAAATAGAAGGAAAGGGAGAAAACAAAACCTGAGGCCCGCTGCATTAAAAACACATTCACATCTCAGTATGTGTTGCTCTATGAGGAGAACGGCACAGGATGGGGTCCTGCAGGCAAGGAGAAATCCACCCAATAGATGAATTCACATTAAGACTAATTTAGAGCTACCATGACATTTCACCAGGAGCCAAATGAAATAAGTGAAGGGGAAATTCATTCTTTGTTTGTCGGTTCCTTTTCTGAAAACTAACAAGAAGGTCTCTGAGAAACACATCCAGTTGAGACACTTTATTCTTTACTGTAGCCCTCTCCATCGCTCACTGCTCAGCTGAACTACGGTGTGACATAAAAATAGACTCTTTCAAGTTGTTTTTACTGTGTCTCTTGTTTGCACTATTCTGCTGTAATCCTGTAAATGTCCCCGCTGCGGGACCAATAAAGGATTATTTTATCTTATCTTTAGCCTGAGCACAATCATACTGACTGTGGGGGTCAAAGGTGATAGCAGGTCATAGGGCAAATGAGTTGATTTAATCAACAGGTCTGTAAAATTGAGTTCCTCCACAAAGAATCACACACAAAAGCACCACTTTAAACCAGAGATGTGCTCATAAGTTTGATGGAAACGATTCATTAATCATGAAATGAAAAGCATAAGAAACGATGAAAATCGACTAAAGACTAAAGAAAAAGACAGATTAGTCTACTAATCGACTAAAAGGGGGCGGCCCTAGCAGGCTGTATAAAAGCATTGCAGCAGAGAATAAAGTTGGGTGTGCGATCATCTCTTCTTCACACACTGAGACTGCCACCAAAAGGTCCAAAAGTCTGACAGGACGGCTTTTACAGCACTTCCTTCAACATGGTCTCGAGATAAGAAACATAATTAGGCTCTTTGTTGGTAACTACACTCATTGACAGACTTCTGGGGACTTCTAATCAAGGAATACGTTTCAACACTTAACCTAAATGACCGTTGAACCTAAAACATGGCGCCTGAGCAAATACAAAAAACACCATTGTCTGTAAAAACAAGTACATGCCGTCTTTAGTCACACATTCACATGGGCATCATATGATGAAAAACACCATCTCTCCGGTTCTCTTGTTTGTAGTTGAAACACGCTGAAGCTTCCTGCTCGTGAACCAGCATCCATCACGTGTCTCGTGTGATGAGTGATCACCTGCACCTGACGCCGCTCATCTGTTCAACAGCTTTGCTCTCGTCGCGGGGTCGTAGCTGGTTGGAGCTACGCGCCACAGCGTTATGCGTGCTGACTTTTACATAACTACAAACCCAGAGCAGCAGAAAACCAGACGAAAAGGAGAGTCTTGTGGAGACTGTGTGGATCGGACGCGTCCAACATTAAAAAAAAACCTTTTCAAGATGCACCAGTCCGAGCTGGGTCCTTCAAACAACAACCAAACACCCAGCAACGAATCCAATTTGGCCACAGTCGGAGCGACAACAATCCAATTTGCATTCTTTCTCGTCGACCCCCCCCTTTATGGAAAAACTGAACTTGGCGAACTCAACTTGTCTCCGTGTTTGTGTTGTATACTCATAAAATGATTTCACCACAGAGAGAGCTTTCCTTTGCACTCTGCTCGGTCTCTGCTACAAATAAACATTCAACAACAAGCGCTGGCCTGCTTCTGCCGCTGCACTTAGCGTCTGTACGGTGACGTCTTCCTCCCGCCGCACATCTTGAGGCCTCCGCTCGAGCACGCAGGCGCACTCTCGCAGAGAGGAGATTTCCGGAAAGTCTTCAACAGGACAGGACAGGAAGCGCCCCACCTATGATAGCAGGAGGCCCGGAGGGGGGGGGGCATGTCAATGCCGGTAAACCTTACACCCTGAAAGGTGATGAGCACAGAGAGGACGGCAGTGGTGGCTCACGGGGGGGCACTGAGCTGCCGAGACCGATCAGACTGTTAATTATATAAGACCCTGGTGATTTATTAGCAGTAATTAAAAACACTCCTGACATGATTTTCGTAGTGATTAAAGTGAGAATTAATGAAGAAAAGTGACATCTTTCAATCCAATCGGTATCCATCCATCCATCCATCCATCAATTCCCTACCTATCCTACTGGCTATTTCTATACTGGATAGTATCTAGACACTGGCTGTGTCTAGATACTTGTGAGTCACCGGTATCCTCTGGCCCGCTGCTTTGGGAGGATTCATATATGAGGAAATGCTGCCATTTGTTGCGCCGGTGACAACGTTGCGTCTCCTTATTAGTTAGGTATAAGTCTTTGTCAGCTCAAGTGGAAAAACCGTGCAGTCAGTGGAAAAGCGTTCTGCTTGGGTAAGACAAACGCTTGTGAGCATGACGAAGAAGCCGCGAGGTAACTCAATGAACTCGGGAGAAAATTGACAGGGGAAATAAAAAAACAGCAACTGTGCAGGTGAAGATAGCGGCTGCGATTGTTTTCTGACAGCCGATGGGTTTTTATAATAAAAGAACAATAATTTAACAACCAGCTAAATCTACATTTTGCACATCACGCAAATCACTAAAAAAATAAAATAAAACAGAAAAGTATACAAAGAAGCACAGACAAAGACTAAACGAGAGATAGAAACAAAGTGAGGCAGAGGTTTGAGACAAAGAGTAAATCTGTCAGACCCGACCCACTTCAAATCCTTTCTGGGGTGATATCTGTTCACTGTGAAGTCACAGGCTGTCCAGACACAACTCACAGGAGGTGGTTGGGACAGCGTCAGGTTTGCAGACAAGTGAGACACGGATTGTCTTTTATTGTGTCACCTCAGCTTTTGAAGCATGACTGAGTGCCTTTTACCGAAGTCGGTCAGCCAAGGTCTTAAATTAACCTCCTGGCTTCACTTATTAATTCAGAATTCACTCACTTGCATAAACGTTGCTTTGGCTAGTCACAAAAAAAGAAAAAAGAAAAAAAAAAGAAGTGTAGAGGCGACTGCTTTGTGCAGAGCTACATTAACAGGCAGCCAATTGGGAACTATGACAAAACTTTCAAAACAGGCAAAGACCTGAATTTGAATACAGCCAATGTATTCAAATGCTATTTTCTCAGACGGCCATCAGCATTGACCGTCCAGATTTGGAGAAAAAATGAATTAAAAATAAATGATCTTCTTTGGACATATTTCATGCAGAATATCTTCCCAGTCTCTTGCTAAGCCGAAAACCACACCACAAATCTGTTCAGCATTGAAAACCCACAAATCATGTTTGCTAGATTTATACAAAAACATAAAAGTACAACTTATGGTGTTATATTGGAAAGGCGCAGGCGCTTACTTACACTCATAATAGCAACTATGATTAAAAACCAGGTTATGGTAGATTCAGATGGAAAATTGCTAGATTATATTACAACAACCAAATTTAGCAAACATATAAAATGTCTTTCATCTAAATTCATAACAACGTAATAGAATTCCCCTGCCAAATGGGGGAAAAGAAAAGTAATGAATAGTAGTCTTAAATCTAATATTTGCGTTTTAAATGGGGGATTATTTAAGTTGTTGCAATCGGCAACTGGCGTCCATCCTCCCATAGCTGTGTATGTACTCCTGCATCCCCTTGTGCTAGGTCAGCAGATATAACAAACCCAACATATGGGCTATGTGAGCCACACTGCAATCTACCAGCTGCAGTGGACGTCCTCTACTTCTGAGTCAGATTCTCAAAAGTCCTATGAGGCCGCTTCTAAAGCTTTTACGTCCCCAAACAATACATTGTGTGTGCCGTGAGATGTGTGTGCCGTGAGATAAACGCGTCTCGCACTGGCCTCTGAGGGTTTCACAAGAGTTAACGAGAAGCTGTGTTGCTGCTACTTGGACGCATCCCCGTCGTCTCCATTCCTGCACAAGGCCCATGGTGACCACACGTCTCCCTTCGGCCCGTTGCTCCCCTGCTGCCAATTCTACAGTCTCACAGACAGGCCAAACAATGCCGCAGCCGGGACTCTCCACTCCGCTGTCTGCGTGTTTTATTTACGCCGCAATCTACGACATTTGAATACATTCATCCTTTCATTGTCGTTTTTTTAAAATCTGGTCTACTACGAGTGTGAATGTTGCTGTTGGACGATACTGACATCAAAAGCAAAAGTAGAAGAATGACACACCAAAAGGGAAGTCATAAACAGTGGCTTAGTGATGGACACTTGCACTCTCCACTAGCAGCATGCCAGGTTTGGCACAACTACAGCAAGAACCCAGTTTACGTTGCAACGGGTACAATACTGGCTTTGTCCCTCAACTCACACAAACAACTCTCTGAGGTCTTGTACAAGTGATGAAATCCGATGGGAATGGGAGCGATGGAAACACGTCACTCTGCACTACCTGGTATCAATAGTTCTACCAAATATTGAGTTAGTTTAATCTTTTCTTTCATGTATCATAATAAGAAGAGTTGAGATTGTTCTGGCTGTGATGTGGTCAGCTCTTAAATGCCCAATGGTTGTATTATGTAAAAGTACTATGAAAAGGTTGAAAATGTTGTGACCTTGTTTTGTCACACACGGGCTGAAACAAGCTGCTGCAGTTCACTATTGACAGCCGGGACCATGTGACCAGAATATGAATGGAGGGAGGCTATTTATTGCACAATTCACACTCACTGTATGCATGTATGGGCATGTATGGGCATGTGTGTGTGGTGTGTGTGTGTGTGTATGTGTAGTTAAGTTGGAGAAAATGCTTGCATGCAATAGAAACAAGACCTAACTGGAATATGTAAGAATTCCTTATTTTAACACTAGGAAGAACAACAACAAAAAAGATCGATGTAAGAAAAAGTAAGAATTGATATGACGACTACGACAAAATGTAACTTGTGATGCATTATTCACACAAGTGGATGTACTAAGGTGACATTCTACGGTATAACGCCTAAACATTCAAATATGACAGTGCTGTTAACAACCACAGGCCTGCTAAGCTAGAGTACTCTGCTTCAAAGAACAACACATTAGCTGTCTAAAAGGTGTCTGAACGTAGGCCTTCGGCAGCCCAGTGCTGGGACGAGTGGGGGCTTAATTATTGGCTGACAAGATAAGCAACGTGCACGGCCCTGGGGCTTATGGTTAGGCAAGAGTTAGTGGAGTGGGGCCACTGACTGCAATAGCCCTGGCTTCTGCCTTCCGGTCTGTATCCCCCTTTGGAATGAATTATTTTTTTAAATTACAGCCATAAAGTCACTGGTTTGATAGGCGGACGATTATCGATGATTATCGTAGTGGTTGTTAGTTAAGCTCTATTGTTGTACAGCTAATGAAGCAATGAGCTCAAACATATGAACATGTAATATATACTGGATAGTGATCGGAAAAGCCCTTCATGTACACTAGACAGTACTTAATATATATTTGGTGTCCCACCAGACACTGACACATCTCTCTGAATCTATGGAGAGGTAGTTTGCCTCTACCTGAACAGACCGTGCATTACTGCAGGGTGAGCCACTAGCTCCTGTCCCACATGATGGCCAGTTGTTCTCAGGTATCTCCCTCTCTGGCCTGTCACCAGGAGAGACATGCTGCATCCTCTGCTGCTGCTGCTGACCCTAACCTCTAACCTCTCTGGAGAAGGTCAATCAAAAGAGAGTGATTTTTCCAAGAAAGGATTAATAATACAGAGATTATTACAGATTAGGGGGCTGAGGGATATGCAGAGTGATGCTGGTTTTAGGCGCATCGCATTTGATGGGTGGTACCGTGAGCCAATCCGGGGTACAATAAAAATCCTGTAATATTCATATGGGAAATCTGAACAGATCGGGATTTAGCTAACGTCATGGTTTATAGCGTTTATGATGGCACAGTTACTCTGGTAACGTCAGTTATTTTGGATTTAACATCCTTGTTACGGTAAAACTATTAGGATGAATGCGGTACTTTTTATTTCAACAGCGTCCACGGGGCTAAAGGTTTCTACCTGAAGTTGTGAAGCTAACGTTAGCTAACAGTTAACGTGTGTTAGCTAACGTTAGTTTGTTGTTGCTCCAACAGAGCTAGCTTATCTGTTGAGTACAGACAGACTATTTCACAGGTGTTGTAATTGGTATTAAATTAAATGCCCACCTCTATTTTGTCCACATTCCTGGCACAGCCGACCACCCTCATGCCTTGCTGGACCAGTGCCCGAGCTACAGCCGCTCCAATGCCCACCGAGGCTCCGGTCACCAGGGCCACTCTGCCTTTCCACCGCTCCATCTCCACAGCACTGTCTCCACCGGTACTGTACGCGAAACAACGGCTCCCGTGCTGCTCCTGTCTGCTCAGTTCAAGCTGTCACAGTTGTCAGTAAGGTATGTTCAAAATGAGGGATGCAGCAGCTACAGCCTCCCGTCTCAGACCGCCCAGCATCCAGGACAGACAGCGGCGGACAGTGTGCCTGAGCCCGGATCCATGCGCTGCTCTGGATGAAATATGAAGAGCCCTGCCGTGAGTAAATGTTTGGTTCATACCACCTCCCACTTGCTTTTTGAGCCCCGATGCCGAGCTGCATTGAGAGCTCTCCGTGTGTTGTCATCTACCGCCGCCTGCTGGAGAAACACTAAATAACACAAGAAGTGTTTCGCATGACAGTTCCCTTGGACAATTCCCCGTAATCACAAGGTTCTGGTCTGGAGATGTTCTACAACAGTAAATAAAGTAGTTTTGATAGTTATGTTATTTTAGATATCAATACTGAGATACTCCGTTATGCCGCTCCAACACCACCGATGTTTTAAGAGATGTCTTCAAAACAAAACTAAGGATTAAATCAGAAACATGACATTTACACATATTCAATATATTTAATAGTCAGTCAGTCGGTCATATATATAATTTATTTATATATATAAATAAATAAAATGTAGGCTACTCTACCTGATGAAACAGCAATAAATGATCCATGGTGATGAAAATATATCCCTTATATAACTTCAACCAGTTTAACAAAGCCTACATTTTAAGCATTCAGAAATTACAAAGCTACAGCCTATTTAGTTTACTATCATTACAGACGGGGCATTTCCTTTGCAAGGACAAACTGGTCCCAGACTGTCACACTTCACAGTCCTACTGGTCCTGTGTCGAGTGTTCAACGGTAAGACCAGGACAAAGTGGCTCACAGAATAAGAACCCTACTCTTTATCCATCTTCTAAAATAAAAATGTACATACAAGGTCAATAAAAACACAACAAAATGATAATGCATATTAATAAATATTTTTTATTTAGTAAATTTTGCACATTGCGCTCTCAACATCACACCCAAATCATTATTACAAATGGATGTTTATTCTCTGTAAAATCTTTATATTTAGAATTTCTGTACACATTTAATGGTACAACCTTTACCACTACACTGAAGTGTCACCAAAGAGAGAAAAACAAACATAAAATAAGACTCCTAAAATGTATCCCTAAATGTCACAGCTTGCAAAACTTTGCCGATTATGGAATCCACTGTGCTCTTACCCGACAACCCGTTACCCTACAGAGGACCACCAACAAATAGCTAGGCTTGGTCGAAGAGAACAATTACATGTGAGAAAGTGGCCAAGAAATGAGATGGAGAAGTGTGTTGGTGTACAAGTGAAAAAGAGAGATGATCAACAGAAAGTAAGAATCACATTTACTTTGAAGGAGAAATGTCCGAACAAGACATCAAATGTATTTCATCATTATTTATTTTCTAAAGATGTTGCAGCAGTGGTGACGAGTGTTTTCCCCAGGAGAAGATGCCCCATAAGTGCAGTTAGTTGACACTGGTGGTGGTAAACCACTTTACACAGACTGGCTTACTCCGCTCAGCGGCACGGCAGTAGTTGGTGAACTTCTCCTTCAGGAGTTGTCTGTACTGGTGGCGGTTGTTGTAGAAGGACCGGTTTCTTTCCAAAAACGCCTGGATTTCATCCTGTGTCAGACAGTTCTCTTCATCTGAAGTCACTTCTGAATCCTCCTGTATTAGGAACACAGCCGCAGTGCCGAAGGTTACATAAGAGCCAGAATCAAACCAGTGTATTCATTCATTCTCATTAGGAAAAAGTGGCATGCAGTTAAGTATAAAGAATACAAGACTAAACCTTTCATACAGCAGATATGTTTTACTTAGAAGGGCCAGTTGTCATCATGCATAAAGGCTCAGTAGCATGGCAGAGCTGTAACCACTCAAATGATTTCCTGTGAGAAAAGTATATTTCTGAGCATCTTAAAGTACATTTCTCACTGACCAGAAGTTCCATGAGACTTGCGTTTCCCTCTGGAGGCCTCGCGTCAAGGCTGTTAGTTTGAGTTGCTTTCCGTGGCAATCGCAGTGCAATGCTGGCAAATGCGTCGCCACATATGGAGGAAGGCATTTCTTTGGTTCGGCACGTGTGCGAGGATGGAGGACCGTGGCCTGTCGTGTTCCCATCTGACACACGACCGTCACCTTTTTGTCCCTGTGGAAATATGCATACTTTCGTTGATACACAGCGTTAAATATTCTGCTTGGAGGATATGAAGTCTACAGTTTGCTCTCTCACCTGATCGCTGCATAAACCCTTGCCCTTCCTTTTCTTCTTTTTACTCTTGCATTGAGGGTTTTCCACAGAGTGTGGCCAGCAGTCTACACAACTGTCTATTCCATCCTCCTTGTCTTTAGCACAGTGATGGGCATTCGAGTCATCTACTGCAGAAGGTAGACAAAGACATGATTGTAAGTAAAGCAAGATGTGTTTAAAAAGACCCTGAAATGGTTTCTCAGTATCTTAGAGCGGCTTAAACCAGACCTGCATCATCATGGTTACACAGTCTCTCGGAGCAGGCGATATAAGAACCGTCTCGCGATCCCATCTCACTGCCCTCCATACTGGAGGAGTAGCCGCAGTCACTGCCATTGCTGTGGGGGGGGGAATCTGTAGAAACGCATGGAAAAACAAGTATGAACACAGGTTTAAGGGTCACTATTCAAACGTGGGGGGACTAAAAAGTAAATATACAAAAAGTTCCTGACTTTTTCAAATAGTCTGTAAGTGCAACAAAGTAGTTTGCCTCGTGGTCCTGCAGCGGCGTGCTTGAAATGCACTACTTCCCTGTCATTTCAGTAAACTGAAAAGACACCAAAAGGATCTTTGAGGCGGTGTGTCTGTTTGGGGTTCCAACAAAGACAAGGCTGTTTGATGCACCAGAAACGAGTGGAGCAACATCAACTGTACAACCTCGTCCGATTGGCTACTTTTCGCCACCCTCAGCAGAAAAAGAAGCTAATAAAATAGCTGCATTGTTTCATTAAAGGAATTTCAGGAAAATTACAGAATTGGATATAAAAAAAAACAAAACATGATACTAAGATTCCAAGCTGCACCACACAGTCAAGTGTCAAAGTGCAGTTGTATTAAACCGCATGAGAAGATATTTGACGACGGTAAACTGGGGGGCAGAGCTTATGGTATATGGGTTGAGTTTGAATGAATCAACAAATTACGTGTTAATTCAAATTTGTTTGAACTCGACTGCTTAATAAAAACGTGACAGCCTTGGCGGCCTGTGTGCATTCTTACCCGGTTTGATGTCGTCTGGGCAGCTACAGGAAGGGCTTCCATTGGCGGTGATGCTCTGATCACATCTGGTCGTCTCCTCTTCCTCCTCCTCTTCCTCCTCTTCCTCCTCCTCCTCCTCCTCGGGGCTACCACAGACCTTGCAAGTGCCTTCCACAGACTCAAGAGAACCCTGCAACACACCAAATGGGACCTAAATAAATACAGGCAAACAGATGTGCAGCTGCAGATTAAAACAGTTATGTGCAAGGAGAGCTTCATGTCCCACACGTACCTCAACCAGATTTGTCTCCTTGTCCTCTCCCTCCTGTTCAGATACGTCAAAGCCGCACTTGTTTTTGCGACGATTTTTTCGCTTTTGCCTCTTTTTCTCCTGCTTCAGCTCTTTGGCCCTCTCCTCCTCAGACAGCTCCTCAACAAACTGCTCTAGCCGACTGATCCCCTGCATCTTCTCCACGGCCATCTAGGAGCAGGTTATAAGTACATTATCACACAGCCATAACACATTTATCATCTGATGAATCGGCCTCAAATGATACCATACAGACACAAGCTTAGAAGTACCTCAAAACTTTTGCGTAGTGCGTCAATTCCCAAGTGGAACAATATCTGCCACGTCTGCTCCTCTGCTCGTAGTTTCTGCCAGATCCTGTGCAGCCGCTCGTACAGGTGAATACCGAGACAGGTCAGGACTTCTTCTTGTGCAATGTCAATGGTCTTGGCATGCCGCTCTCTGCGTCTGAAAAAAAGCAATTATCATCAACCGAATGTGTGAATAGATTGAAAGGAACATGGCATGACAGAAAATGCCTCAAATGAAACCGACTTGCTCAATGGTAAAAGGCAGCCCTGTAGTTTTTTTCCCTGTATGAACCTTCACTTACTCATAGCCTCCTGCAAACTCGGGCTCCGCCCGGCCCAGGAGGTGAGCGATGAAGTCAGTCTCACAGCACACGTGGATGTGGCGTTCGTGGGGGCAACAGCATAGTCCCTCATACAAGGCGGCGCAATACCCCTTCTCTTTACTGCAGTCCAACTCCCCCACCAGGATGTTGTACGCCCTCAGCACTTTATTCTTGCAGTCGGTGCAAAATCTGCAGACAACAAAGTGCTACACAGTTAATGGGGTTCTTTCCAAACCTCAAACAGCATTTTGGAAAGAAAGGCTATGATAGCCACACGTCACCTGTGTTTACGCAAGTATGTCTCCAGGGTCTCTAAGAGACAAGCGCTATCAATGAGGACCACCTCGTCCCTGCACTCCTGAGACATCAGCTCCCACACATCCATCCAGCTTCCCCTGTAAGCAAACATACAACTATTATAGCTATGCCATCAAAATGCACAGTGATCATCTCTTAAACCTGCAACTAATTTGTATATATTGACCATAGAGGGGAAAAAAAGAAACATCAAAATGGTACACAGTGATGACTGGCCTAGAACAGAGACGTTCTGGAGGCTGGAGATGCACAAGCAGGTTGTTTTCTAGTGTAATACGTTAAACCTGACATTCCCTTTGTGCACCCTTCACTACGTTTGGCTAGGAACAACTTAAAAACACACAGATCCTGCCTGCTGGGAAGTGTTAGTATTCCACTTCTCAAATAAAGCCTCTAATACTAATATCCTGAATTTTTGCAGAGAAAGAAACTGATACAGATAAAAACAAAATGGTAATATTACTCACCCCAAGGGTTTAGGTTTGTGTGTGTCTAAGGAGTGTAACTGGCAGCGTTTGTTCTTTTTACTTTTTGGAATGGCATCGATCATGTCATTCAACTTTGACCTGTAAAAAAAAACAATACCCCAGAATTGTTTTCAACAGTTAATTAAAAAAATACAACAGAGGAATTTGTCCACTTGCTACGTCCGACACAAAATAAGAATAAAATGACACAGTGCATCTGTACCTAAGATAACTCTGTATGTGCATAGTTTGAAGTTTGGATTTTTTGTTCCCTCTGTTTTTAACCTAACAAAAGCACTTGCTCATATTCAATGAAAAACTGTTAGTTTTGTCTGTTCTCTTTTGATACACGGTATGATGGATTTGGCAGCATCTTACCCGTGGACGTAGAAGAGGGTGTAGAGCTTCTTTACATCTGCTAAACAGGCTTTGGTGACAGAGAGCATGCCCGCGGGTTTCACTGTGAGGGGCTCCAAGGCTGGGTTCCCCGATTCCACCAAATGGGAGAAGAGGCGCTCCACACTTCGTCTGCAGCCCACACATGGCACCAGCTGAGCTAATCCACCGAACACCTCTCGGGATGTCACCACCATGGCGACATTCAAGTCCTGTTCCGTCAACTTGGAGTGGTACTAAAGGCCGAGGAATCACGCATCGGTTACCACTTTGTTTGACAGGTCACATGATGATAAAACTACACACTCATCAGCTCCTGTGCACGGACAAATTAAAACTACTCACCTGGGAAAATTGTTTCCAACGAGACGCGTTTATTTCTTGGCTGTCAACATCCATGACACTGTCAGAAAATTCCATCACCATCTGACGACAAGAAATAATATACATCAGTTAACGTACATTATGGGAACTAACGTATTTCAGGCATGATGATAATGAGGCAAGATCGTCTTTATGGTTGTTAAAACATATACTTTAATGCCACAAAAATGTCTTTTTTTACTTGAACACCTTTACACCTGTGGCTTTTAAAGGCATTCTCCTTGTGGTGAAATATGTGGGAAAGCTTACTGACCGTGAGGCTCTCATCGATATACAGGGGGATCTGTCTGGAGAGAAATGGGTAGTCCTCTTCCCCCTCCCTGCATACTGCTACCAGACGTGCCATGACCTCTTCAGGCTCGGCTGTGGTGAAACTAACCTGCAGACGACACACAAGAGGAGACCCACTGATCACATTGGACATCAGCACAGGCTACACTAAGCTAATGCTAATCTATTGCAGGTCATTGGGGGCTAACTGCAACATCACCTTGTCACTACAAGCTATTTTACAGACCAAAAAGTCAATAACACGTGGTACAAAACGCAGGCCATTCACTGATTTAACGTTTCACTGTTGAAGTACAAACAGGTTTGTCTTGTACCAGATTAGACCAGCTGGCGTTAAGTTAGCAAGACAACGATAGCTTGGAGGAGGGAAACTGGAACAACGTTTCGTTTTAGTTCGTGAGCTCTGTTTGTAGCTGTATTGGCTAAAATTATTTAAATAAACGACAGGATCAATCACGCAAACGATATATGTTGGGCAATATATAAAGCAGTAACCGGCGGCTAACCAGTTAACTAACGTTAGCCTGCTAGCTAATATCATTTGCCAGTACACTTTTATAAATTGAGGAAGCCGGTCAGTGTATTATATGCACAATGTTTCCAAGCTATTACTTTATACTGACCTCAATAGTACATTAACAAATAATATACGTACCGCAATATCGTTTGTCTACGCCCTGTGGATGCCAGCAAACTTGGCTAACTTACTTGTTAGCATCGCTGTCCTACACAGCTAACGTTAGCGAGCTTGAATACAGCTCATATAAAGTTGAACTGGGTGACTAGCTATTTAGCAACAGTCACTTCCATTAGCTTCTCTCACTAACGTTTGACATATCGACCATAATCTGCCACGGTGACACAGCAAAGGTGCATCTGAATAACAGCAATCATTGTGGTTACTCACCCGCTTCTGAAAGTTCCCTATAAAAAGAATAAACAAGTGCGACAGTGAGCGAGGCTGCTACGGTGTCGGAATCTTCATTACCGATTTCACCTTTGACCCTTTTACGTCGTCGCTGGTGTTGTAATGCGCGTGGCCTCAAGGGGGCGCTTTATTTATATATTATTGTTAAAGAGAAAAGTGCTACGTTCACACAATTAAAGCTGTTACATACATTGTTTGAAGTAAGTGAGTGAGCCTTAAGGAAATTCCATTTGATTTTTTACTTGCTTGTTTCTTTGTAAACAGTTTTATATGAATAAATGATGGTGCTATATTAGATTTTAACCCTAGCCCTTTTATTTAAAATTGTATATTTGTATTGTATATATAATATATATATATAAAATATACTGTATATGTAATATATATATATTGCAGCATTATTTGAAATGCAATTTTTGCTTTCACGAAAATCTCAGATCCTGACCTGACCTCGTCTTTAAATCACAGTATATCTGATGTCAGTTCTGCAGTAGGCCCATCCCATAGAAGCAGAAAGCGTTATTTAGCAGCAACGACAAGCTGTTTTAAATACACAAAGACAAATAAAAATAATTTACAATGAGAATACACCGTGTTTGGCTTAACAGTTTATTGTAGTCCAAGTTCTCACTTAATTGGAGACACCATTTCATCAAGACACACATTTATTTGCATAAAGACGCACAATATTTACAATAGTAACTTCAGCTTTACAGAATTTCAAAGTCTGTAACTCCAGCCCCACATCAATCCTCAAAACACCCAAATGAACCTTGCAGTTTTATGAATGCAAGTTTACCAGAATTTCACTGAAATTCCATGATGATGTAAAACAAATACTACAAAGCAATTCACGAACATGTACGACAGCAGAACACACAGAGAAAATGAGCTGCTGCAAACAAGTGTGTCCACTATTGAGTTTGTCAATCCTGTCAAGACATTTGCAAGCAGGAAAAACAACAACTGATTCCTGCTGACAGCTTGAATGAGACAATGTCTTTCTATCTCAGCTGTCTTTTTGTTAGAGAGAGAGTCTGCTTGTTTCTTATGCGGATTCCACGACGAGGGTACAAGGTGACAGCCTGATGTTCTTTTCAAAAACAATAAAGCCATATCAGCAATACCAAGACAGAACAAAAAAAACAAAGACTGAGCAACACTCCAGAGGCCGAAAGGTAAGTTTGCTAAGCGGCGAGACACTGGCTCCACGAGTGTCTGACATGTGTACAAAGCAGTGTACAGGACAACACTTCCCAACAACAGGTTAAAAAGTGTTTTGAGCCACTGTCTAACGTGGGATCTTGGTTGCATCACATAGAATCCCACCTGAACTCCTGCCATGTAGATGGCTACATAGCCCACTACAGAGAATATGCCCTCCTTGTTAGCGTGCAGAAAGCTCCTTTCTCTGTCATTGTTGTGGATAATGAAAGCCTTCAGCCCTGATGTCTCCAGAGTGAACTGATAAAATCCGCTGATCAGGAGGGCAATGACCCACGACCGATTGGCTGGTAAAAAGGCCAAAAGCACAGAAGCCACAACTCTGACGATGGCTAGTGTGAAGAAAAAATTCCAGTGGACGCCGTATTCTGTCACATGCTCGTGGTAGCCAGACATTTTGAGGCTCACTAGCCTTCCCATACCAAGAACAAACAGGGGCCAGACAGCCAGGAGCTGCTTGGCGATGTGATTCACCTTGGAGCCCGAGATGTTCTTCCCCCGTGCCTCTGGACAGACCAGGGCATTTGCAAAGACATACGCTCCAACGCCAAAGTCCATAACCCCTGTCCCATAGGTTTCAGTTTTAGCATATCGCCTTGGGAAGATACTAAAGTCCACGGCAAGAATGCTGATGGCCGTTTTCACATTCACAAACACTCGAAATATAGTCACGAAGGGAAGCTGGTCGAATTGAACGTGACTCTGAAGGAAGGCGCTGACCGTGTTCTGTGTGTGCCGAGCAAAACGATGACTGTTGGCACGATAGATATAGCAAAACACACAAGCCGAAACAAAGGCCAGGCTTAGGATGACCTGGTGGAGAACGGTGCTCAGAACGGTGCATGACAGGACGAGGGGAAGGATAAGCACACAGAAGTCGAGAAGCAGGTGTGAAATCAGTGGAAGTGGCAGCGGAAGAGTACCCCTGGCCTGATGATGCAGGGTCAGAATCAGTCCTCTGCTGATGAGGCACAGCGGAGTGAGAAATGAGCCCAGGGCCACCTCCTGCAGACTGGTCCCATTGAGATTACTGACAAATGCTTCCTTCAGGTCCCTCTGAGACATGGCCTGCGAACATTCAAATGCAAATTATTATAACATGAGAGGAACATGACTGTGTTTAAGGACAAGTAAATATTAACAGTTTCATCAGACACTAGGAAACTGAACAATGGCTGCACAATGAATTTACATCCATAATGTTATTTGCACTATTTCTGAGTTAGAGGTAAAGCAAGTGTCCCCTACTTGCTTCAATTATTCAACTCTTGATGGGTTAACTTTCAGCTAAAGCTAAATGCTCAAGCTAAAAACGAAAGCTAAAAGCTAAAGCTTTGATTGTAGTTGTTTTTAGATGGTTAAACAGGGTAATTATTCACTTTCTCAGACAGTTAACTAGCACCGACCACGAGACATGGTCATAGTTCTCTAATATATTCTGCGACGGTTAATACGTGAGCAAAGTATTTCAGTGTAGTAAACTGTACTTACTACGGATGCGCCTGTTAGGCGTCGGAAATGAAGGTTCACAAAATACCTGTTTCACAGCATACCAATTTACAGTTGCTTGACGTGCCCGTCCCTGATGCTAACCCGAAGTACAATACTTCCGCATTCGGCCTCATGACGCATTCAGGACCACTCGGATTTCTGGAAACTTCCAAACTAACCAGGACTTGAGTTTCAAGCATAAAACATTGATGAAAAAATAGTCTCCCCTGAAAAACAGTACTATTGTATTATACAAACCTTAAGATAATATATCATGATTATGACGGCCAAAGAGCTCTGGCTTAGTGTATATATATATCCAGGCAACTGATACATGATGGCCATTAATGTTAGTTTCCTTCAGTAGATACACTGAAGGAAAACTGCATTGAAATTGAAAAATATAAAGTCCTAATTTTAAGTCATGTTAAGTGACATTGAAAGGTATGTCCTAAAGTTATAATATTTAAAAGTGAAGGTAATTTCAAGGAAAACCTTACCCGTGTAATTATGAGCCAACGTTGGACAGCTGGGCCCTGAAGTGTCGGGAAGAGGGCGGGAATAAGTGTAAAGTTGGGAGTTTGGGAGGCAGTCGGAAGGGCAGACACAGTTGTCCCTCAGGAATTTATGACAGTAATGGAAAATATTGAGGCTCAGTACTGCAGTGTAGAACAACTCAACAACGTATCTTAATTAGAATATAGGCGTAGTTCCTATCAAGGTTTTAGGTTAACTTTTAAGACAGACATCAAAGGTAACCGTAAAATCAATGAGTTCAGCCGACAACAGACGAATCGTTAGACCAGGGCTCAGCAATGGAGGGGGAACGGTAAGGACCCGGGGAAGACCCGTCCACACTCATCAATTGGTGGTGTAGAGGTCTTCCTTTTCGGTTTAGAACATGTAAAAGTCAACGATAAGTTAACTTGACCTGGAGTAATGTTACCGTTATCAATACGGGACGTTACCGCTTTCCACTTTTGATTGGTTGGTTCGTATTCAAACTATTTGTAAAATGTTTTTATGGACCCGTGAATAATACCGTGATCTAACGTACAATGCGCCAGATGAAAATGTAGTTGGTCCCCCGTGCGTGGAGTAAATGCTAAATGACAAATTTAGTGGCTTAATTTGGCAACGTTTTTCTAACTCGCTTTACACACACACACACACACACACACACACAGAAACGTGACTGAAGTCAAATAGTTGTGGACCACTTTTAAATGCTGTCGAAGCAGAAGTTATTATCAATAAATTGCACACATAGAAACTTGTCTCACACGCTAGTTGCTAGTCTGCGAGTATATAAACAGCATTCACTAAATTGCCAGATTTTTGACTGGGGTTTGGTGTGAGAACAGCAGAACAGGACGAGGGTCACTCAAACAAGTGTATCAAAACTTGAGAAACCACTCTGTTAGATATGTCAATTGAATGTGTTGTATACTCTGATATTACTTGTGTTGCATTAGGTATTGAATGAATTACATTAAGACTATTTACATGGTTTAAAATAGCCCTGCTGTATGATGGGATGTAAGCTACCTTCTATTGGATTAAATCTGTCTGCACAAATGTAGTACCTGATGACGGTTGCAGGTCATGTGACCGTGGCAGGATAAAGCAGACTTCCATTTGTCAGTCTGAAGTGATTGTGATTGAATGAATTACACATGACACATTGACCAAAGTGGCTCTGAGCAAATATACATGTGGCAGTTGCCCCTGTAAGACTTTGTGCTGTTAATGAAAATATCAGCATGTGATGGAAGACTGCATCTTCTGTATGATGATTGACAGCGCTCTCACAGTCGAGGCTAAAAACATGAACATTTAAGTGCATAGAGACGGCATATTTGTAAGCACTTCATAGCTCAGGAAAGTTTGTCAGATTGTATGGACCCACAGAATGTTTGTCATTTTGATGCACAAAATGAGATCTATTTTGCTGTACTGTTAAGTGTGTGGAGCTCAGAAATGTATCATGATTTCAACAAAAAACAAAATACAGTCGCAATCAGACTTGACGTCATGATGACATTGGAGGTTTTGGCCACAGCTGTCTGGTTTGTTATGTTGTGCCCTAGATTGTGGGAATATCAAATGCAATATGCATAAAAACACTTTTCCTCTCTCTGGCTTTTGTGTCATCATCTTGCACTTTTCTATCTGTAATGTTAAGAAATTAAAATATATATATATTTATGTTTTATAATATAATCATTTACTATCACCATGGGCATTTACTCTGCATGACTTACAAGGTGTCAGTTCATATTTGAAACATTGATATCACGTTTTTGCCTCATTCACATAGGTGAAAGGATTAGTCCAGAAAGTCCATTCTGCTCCCTCGTCCCTAAATGATTCGCTGGAGGGAGAAATCCAGGCCTTCCTCATTGATGAAGACCAGCTCCACACTTACGACGACCTCACCAAAGTCAACCCCGTGACCCCATCAACAGGTAACAGTCTTTATTTATTGAAACACAGCCAGTGTGACTCGGTGTTTTCCAGCTCATGTCACCTTGGATTGAAGCATTTGCTGTGTATTGTTTAACCAACATCAAGATCAAACCTGCGGGGTCATGATAAAGTAAAATAAGAATGCATGAATCATTGCAGTGTACACAATGAGAGCGATCAGGTTTCACTCAGGAGAGTGAACCAAGGGCATGAACTACTAGCTTCATGCATCCACAAAACACCAATTCTTGCATTCCGTATACTTGTATAATACAGTAGGGCTGTATTATACAAGTATACGGTACAAGTATAATACAAGTAGCTATGAAGCATCATATCTTTAAGTGTCTATGTACAACATTTTTTGATCAGTCATTTTACTCTGTTGTTTGCCTTGACATAAAAATGCAGTGTCATTGGCATTATGTAAAAAAAGATATCTGTGTAGATTTTCGTTTATATTTCGAGGTGGTGTTCGTTTCCGCCCAAAGGAGAAAACACAACAGTGCAGCTTCTTAACAGCAGAGGTCAGGGTGTGACAGCGTGCAATAGCTGAAGTATCTTGAACTGATTATGCTGCATCTGTTCTATGGATCATGTTATTTTATATAGATGCTGGTTTCTCATATGGATGAACATATCTTTACCATTTTAATTCTGCTGTCCACTCTGGTGTTGTCTCGTTCCTGCCTCAGGTGGTTATCATCTGTACATTTTGGCTCGTCTGTTTTTTCCTGTTAATGTCTAATGATGTTTAATATTCTCCTCTGTTAGTGCTGAAATGCCTGCAGGCCAGGTACAGCGTGAAGGTGTTTTACACCCATGCTGGCTGCACCTTGGTGGCTCTAAACCCCTTTCAGCCAATCCCAGATCTCTACTCTCTGGATGTGATGAAGGAGTATCACGGCGCTCCTCAGCCTCAGGTATTTACAAAGCAACAACTGTAACTTACGCATGTGTCTCTATAGAGCTTTTTAATGATGGTTGGGGAAGATGGATTGTGGTGGATGCAGGGGTGTGGATGGTGGGTGTGGGTGCATTGTTGGACTTTGGCTTCTTCAGAGGGTTCCCGAGACTTCCAGGAATAAGTCATGCACCAATGCAGACCTTCAAAAATGACCCAACTGGTACGAGTGAGTCAACAAGTCAGCATCGAGCAATGTTTCATCAGAATGTCTGATTTTTGCAGAGTTTAAAAGAGCAAAAAAACAAAAACCCTGCTGTTTTGTGGTCAAACATAAATCTTCCTGTTCCTTTATTTCAGGAACAACTTCAAAGTCAAACTCTAAAAATGACCAGTATCTTAATAAGTGTTTTTTTTTTTTGCCAACAGGAGTTCAAACCACATATCTTTATTGTGGCAGAAGAAGCCTACAGGAATGTTCAGGGCCAGCTGGAGCCGGTGAACCAATCCCTGGTGGTCAGCGGTGAGAGCGGTGCAGGAAAGGTAAACCTACACAGAGCGTGTTACGCTTAAGGAATGAACGTAACCTTTGACGGTATATAGACTAGGCTGATTATGCATTTAGAAGTCTTGGAGTGACTCGTGCTCTGAATAATATGACAGTGTATTGTTCGTCATCTATTTTGATTCGGGATTAATCACGTAAGTCATGTTTCCTGTTACCTCTCAGGACCTGCAGGTCAACAAACAATTTGAAGTTGGGCTCCGCGACGGCTGTAAACTGGGTCACAGGATCAGTAGAAACACGCTTCAGTGGACTTTTGATTTGTTTCCTTACAGACGTGGACGTCTCGTTGCCTGATGAAATACTACGCCACCGTGGCGGCTTCCTCCTCAGTGGTGAAGAGTCAGGACACAGTGGAGAGGATAGAGAAGAGGGTGCTGGATTCCAACCCCATCATGGAAGCTTTCGGTGAGATAACTGATGATCGCTGGTTTCTCGTTACTGTGAAAACAACCACTGCGGACACTCGCTGAGTCAACACTTTACCCTCCATGTAGGCAACGCCTGTACGCTACGGAACAACAACAGCAGTCGCTTCGGAAAGTACATCCAGCTCCAGCTAGACAGGTACTCACAACGGATCCTGCCGCACTCTCTTCTCCGTCACGTGAGATGGAGTCAGTACAAGTTGTTGGTGGGTTTGACGTGTTGTTTTTCCATGAAGGTGTCAGCTGTTAGTGGGGGCGTCTGTGCAAACCTATTTGCTGGAGAAGACCAGGGTGGCCTGCCAACTGGCTAATGAGAGGAACTTCCACATCTTCTACCAGGTGAGTTAACGGGGTGGCACGTGTCCTATTTTGGTTTAGCGTTGACACGTTCACGTGTGCAGATGCTGAGTGTTTTTGTTTTTCAGATGATGAAAGGGTCCACTGAGGAGCAGAGGAAGGAGTGGAAGATGCCACATGGGCAACGTTTTGTGTGGCTGCCAAATTCTGAAAAAACTGTTGAGGGTTCGGTCTTTAATTTGAATGTGTATTAAGTAATGTTTGTCTTTTTATTCTATACATTTATGTGATTCTCACAAGTACCTTCTCTTCACGTGTTGTTTTTATAGAGGATTGTTTTCATGAGACTGTGGAGGCAATGGTTCATCTGGGCATTAATGCAGAAAGGCAGAGACAAATATTCAGGGTAAGGTACTCTTCATCGGAAACATTTATATTCAACCCCCTCTATTTAGCATTTATAAACGCTATACAAACATTTAATGAATTAAAAAACCTTAATGTAGTTCTGAGTAGGTTAAAGGACCTTTTGAAGTCTACAATTATCACTTCTCCTATGAAGACATATTTTATATTATTACAACTGTGTTTCACTACATCATCATTCATTATGTTTATGCACCAGCATCCAGCTGTTTGTGCACACAGGACCAGTTACAGTTTACAAATACATTAATAACTTATATCTGCTTACAACTACGTTGTAGTTATGGATGGGCGATATGGCCAAATTTTTCTATCAAGATGTAGGTAATTTCATATCTCGATAACGATATACATCATGATGTAGCATGTTTTCTGGTAAGTCAGGAAATAGATGAAATAACCATATGGTTTTGTATACCCTTGTGTGAATTAAATACTTTCATTAAAAAGGTAGTTCAAATACGAATTAATTTACTGAGTATTTTATTAGGAACTTTTGTGCCGTATAAACATAACAGTTTCACTTGAAATTATGGAGAAAAACATTATTTATTTAATGTTTATATACTGCTTATGAATGCTAAATATTGGGGTTAAAGTAAAGGGTTACCGTAAGCACAGAATATACTTGTCTTGTTCTATTTGTTGCGTTACAGATACTAGCGGGGATTCTGCAGTTGGGGAATGTGAATTTCTCCTCTTCAGCGGATGAATCACAACCTTGTCTCCTCGACGAGCAGTCCAAAGGTATTGGATAAGATTTAGTTTGAGATATTTAATCAACTCACTTCCAGTTATTGAGTACAGAATGCTCCTCAAAGAGATTTTCTTTTTAAAGAAACAACGAATAAATCCCATGACACTCCCGTCTGTGTTTCAGACTTTTCGCAGAGGGCTGCTGAGCTGCTGTGTGTCTCGGCCGAGGAGCTCCAGATGTGTTTGAGAGTGAGGACGCTGAAGGCAGGGAAGCAGAGCCTGCTGAAGCCCTGTTCTCGGGCCGAGTGCAGCGTGAGGAGAGACTGCCTGGCCAAGGTCATCTACGCCCAGTAAGAATGAGGGTGTGATCGAATGGAACAGCCGTGTGATGATATTATGTGAAGAGGGCGGGTCATGCTGGAGCTTGTTCTTGTCCTGTGACCAAGACTTTGTCCACAAACACGCAAATGTGAAACCATCATGCCCCTTAGTTTACAATAAACAGAGACGTGTCTGTAAATCACTCTTTCTATTTACATTCTGTCTATTTTTTGGAAAAGGAGTAAGAGTTTGAGTCTTTTTTTTTTTTTTCTAACAGATTATTTGATTGGCTGGTTACATTCATCAACAACAGCATATGTGCAGACAAATCCACGTGGTGCAACTTCATAGGTAAAGACATTATCATCTTTTACTTTGTTGAATTTCAATACATCTCTATCTTCCCAAAGTTTCTTCTCATAAGCTCACACATTGCTCTCCTCTCTGTGATCTCCAGGAGTTCTAGATGTGTACGGGTTTGAATGTTTCCAGATCAATAACCTGGAGCAGCTGTGCATCAACTACGCCAACGAGAAGCTGCAGCAGCACTTTGTGGATCATTATCTCAGAGCTCAGCAGGTACCACATCCATCACTTTTCCATGCAGAGATCTCGGGAGAGCCGTAGTCTCTCTGCTTGATGTGTTGATGCGCAGGCCTCGGCCGTTCAGGAGGCTTCACGAAAGCTCTGTTGATCGTGAACAGAACTTGTCGCAGCTTGTGTAATGCGCAGAAAATATTTTGTACTTGAATATTTATCTCTGCTTCTGCCAGGAGGAATATGTGTCGGAGGGGTTGGAGTGGTCTTTTGTCAAATACCAAGACAACCAGAGGTGTCTGGATCTTCTAGAGGGAAGTCCTGTCGGTGTGTTTTCTCTTCTTAATGAGGTATGCTGGTATGCTGTTTTTTTTTTTTTAATTATCAAATTTTTTATTGATAATTAATTTCATAACCCGCAAACAAAACAGCACACAATAATAATGGTAAAACTAAACGATACTAATTAGTGTATATATAGTTTTAAAAGAGAAAGACATTTTAATTTTTTACATTGAAGACATTTGTCCCCTAATGCTTTTAACACCTTGCTTTCCATGCATTCAATTGTCTGGTTTAGTCCGAACATTGACTTAATAGTAAATATATGTATCCGTAGTAAGTGCAGATTGACCACTGTTTACATACCCGTCCTGTAGGAGAGTCGTCTTAACCGAGTCTCGGACGCAAACACGTTCCGGGTTCGTCTGGAGAAGGAGCTCTGTGTTAATGCCAACATCAGCTGGGACAAGTTCAGCAAGGTGCCACACTTCACTGTGGCCCATTACGCCGGCAAAGTCAACTACCAGATCCAGGGGATGGTGGAGAAAAACAAGGTGTGTGTGCTGTAGAGAAGAACTTTTTAATTTAGAAAATTCCCCCACATATTCATCCACTCATCTCCTACTGGATTCTGTGTTTTAGGACCCGGTGCCACCAGAGCTCACCGAACTGCTTCAGAAGTCTGACAACCCCCTGCTTCACCAGATCTTCGCCGATAAGGAAACCAAGAACTCGACTACCAAGGGGCTCAGTAAAGTCACCGTGGTCTCCAAGTTCAAGGTGGGAGTCAACTAAAGCCTTTATTACCAGGGTCACATGAGCTAGATGGGGCTCGTAGATTTCCTCCTGGGTCGGTCTAGTCATGGCTCTGATTATTGTGTGACTGCAGAACTCTCTGGAGAGCCTGATGAAGATCCTCCACACCACAACTCCTCACTACACTCGCTGCATCAAACCCAACCCAGACTGTAAGCCACTGATCTTCAAAAAGGAGGAGGTAGGTGCTGCTGTTGTCTTTCATTCAATGCTTTCTCTTTTCCCTGAAGGGAAAGGTTTTGATGGTTACTTCCTGTCTACTCTCAGGTTATCATGCAGCTGGAGGCCTGTGGGATCGTGGAGACTGTTCATATTAGTGCTGCTGGCTTTCCAATCAGGTGAAACAATGTTTATTTGGTAATTTTTAACCTCAAAGAGATAAAGTGGGGTTGTATGAGTTACTTATCCATAGTCGGTGTATTTAACAACCATTCAGTCCGACTATATATATTATGTTATACCTTCACTGTGTGATTATGTATTTATTCTACTTGTTTTTATCTTGTTTTTCTACTTATGTCTCTTGTTTGTTTGGATTATCCACTCTGCTGCTGTAATCCTGCAACTTTCCCGGCTGTGGGACTAATAACGGGATTATCTTATCTCTTATCTAACCTACAGTAGATGGTCAGTTTGGAGAAGCAGACAGGAGTAACAGCACGGCTATATACAGCAGAGCTATATACTGCTGTGGACAGGGGCAGCAGCAAAACATATTTTAGCCACGTAAAACAATCTTTGTTTAAGTGTACACTATAACTAGAATATTTTTACTGTTATCTTTTCATCAGAAAGCCCTTACCTTTCTGAAGCCATTCTTTTCCTCTATGCTCCTTTTAAAGCCACAAGACTACTTTGACATAAAGGATGGATGGAACAAGAGAGTATAGATGGATGGAACAAGAGAGTATAGATGGATGGAACAAGAGAGTATAGATGGATGGAACAAGAGAGTGTGGATGGATGGAATGGCTTCAGGTCCCCGTACTCCTGTCTGTTTCTCCAAACTGGGGGCGTGCTGATCGCCATTTAATAAGTTAATGCACTGCTCAAGTAACTCATACGAGCCCACCTTAAAAAATCCGAACTATCCTTTTAATGTGTTGCTTTGTTTTTCTTGGATTTTGGTTGAGTTGTCGCTTCTGTTGTACAGAATTCCTTTCAAAAGCTTCATGCAACGCTACGGACTGATTGCAAAATATTCGATTTTCCAGTCAGGGAGTGTTGGTAAGTACAGTTTGTTGTCGGGTTCAATTTAAGGTGATTTTTGGCATGTTCACTGTTGATAAAGAGTGATTTTATTTCCTCTGTTTAGGTCTGCTGATTTATTCACCTTTTCCTTCATTAGCCCTCTTAGTGAACGTGACCCTCATTTCTCTACTCTGCTGGGGACTTTTCCATTTGGTGTATAAAAACAAGACTTTCTAACAAAATGTACAACTTCTTATGAACTTTCCAGGTAAATGCATGAACCTCTGACTATCAGAGCTTGCTTTGCATGTTTCGTGTTTCTTCACTAATTAGTGATCAATGCATGCTTGGACTTAAATTCCTCTTTAACGCGCTATTTAGCTGCTTTTTATCCATGCTAGCAGCATCGCTCTATGGATGGCATTGTTGGTCTGTCTGCCAGTCAGTCAGTGTGTCTGCCTATATGTTCCAGGCTGGAATATGTCAACTTTTGGATGGATTGCAAATATTTTGTCCAGACATTAATGTTGCACAGAGGACCTATTTGACTGACTTGGGTGATCCTCTAGCACCACCCTGATGCTTACATTTGAGGATTTTAGTGAAAAGTCTTTAATGGATTGCCATAAAATTTGGTACACCACGAGATCAAATACATTGGTTTATGACCAAATACCTGCAAAACTAATAACACTCCCATTAGCCTCGGCTGTATTTTGTGTTTAATGCAAATTAGCAAACGTTAGCATGCTGAACTGAGAAGGTGAGCATGGTAAACATTATGCCTGCTAAACATCCGCTTGTTAACATCGTTGTTAGCGTTTAGCTCAGAGTACTGCCTTGTTCAGCCTCTAGCACGGCTGTACACTCTCAAGTCTCGTTGCATGAATTTTCAAAGAACCCGCTCACTAAACCTGAATCAGGTTTGAAGGATTCTTTGAATTCAGACCAGAGTAATCGCATCGGAATCTGTGGAAACTGTGCTGTTGATTCTGATGGATTCCTCTGTGCTCTCTCACGCTTAACCAGTTTTTACCTCACTGACTGAATCCTAAGTGGTGAAAGTGAGTCTCTGGACAGTTGTGTGCTGCTCTGCCCTTAACTTGAATAATGTCTCTAGTGCTTCACTCTGATTCTGATGTCCCTCTCAGATGCGGAGGCTGACGGCAGCGACATTCTCCTCCGGCAAGAGGTGGAGAAGCTCCTCGGCGTCGTGCTACAGAACAAAGCGTTTGACCCCTCACACAACCGTGACAGTGAAAAACCCAATGTATGGGTGCACTGCGGAAGGACTAAAGTGTTTCTCACCCAGTTGATGGTCAGCCATGTATATACACAGACATCCTCACGTGATTTAAAGTGTATGTGGAACAGAAATACCTGGGAAGTAATAAGCTAAAGTACTACATATTGCCCAGAATTTCTTTTTTCGATCCGGCCGTATCGTTTCAGTTACTTAACAGGCCGGTAAAGCAAATAAGGGCTCTGGTCTTTTTTTGGAGTACTGACCTGCCTGACTGTTGTCTCACAGCTAGATTCGCTGGAGGATCAGAGGAAGAAGATCCTGTCTCGGTGTGCCTTCTCCATTCAGTGCTGCTGGCTGAGGTACCAGCAACGCAGACGCCGTGCGCGCCAGCACTCTGCTACGCTGATCCAAGCAGGTAAACTCTTAATGCCCTGGCCAGGTACCACTGAGTGGAATCGGTAGAGCTTTGTGGCCTCACTCCCGCTGAGTCCTGCTGGCTTTGACCTCACTGTCTGGCCAACAGGAACCAGCTGGCAGAGTCCGTACACAATGTTTGCAGGCTGACAGTTAATCCCTTCGAAGGCAGCAGAAGCTGCCGCAGCAGCTCATCTGATTAACTGTTGAAGACCGGTGTTCTGAATGGGAGCACATAAACATTTGTCTCCACAATGCAGAAATTACACTTCCAGATTTAATGGCTCGGTCAGAGGTTGAATGTGTTTTATGCCTCCCACAGTGGTGCGGTCGTGGCTGGTCAGGAGGCGGGTCCAGAGACGCAGCAGAGCAGCTGCACTCATCCAGAGCACCTGGAGGAAGTGGAGGGTGAGATTTGTAAAGAATACATATTGCATCTTAGTCTAGCTGCTACATTAGCTGCCGCTTGTTTAACACATCCATATCTCTGACCAGACTGTCGGCGGTCGAGTTGCATCATGGGTAATGGCGGCCCGGTCTTTACTGTCCATCGTGAGTCTTACGATGTTGTAGGAGAGCTATGCTAAATCTCTCCAGGGACAACAAATAGTCTTAGCAGTAGCAATAGCATTGTTTATCAATGTGCACTGGCCCTGTAAAGAACAAACAAAAAAGCGTGGAGTTGTGGATTATGTGTAAAGTATTTTTGTTTTTGTGGCAGGCCCTATTGAAATCCTTGGCCGAGGCAGAACTGGATGACGCAAAGGACTTCGCGGAGGAGGACTTGCCAGTGTTGGACTCTGTTATCAGGCAGCGGGGCTCAGTGCAGCTCTCCTCCATCCAGGAGCCCGTCTCCGTGCGAGGGTGGCCCATGGGCCTGGCCCTGGCCTCGGCGCCGTCCATCACCATGTCTCTGACAGCCACAGGCTTCCAGAAGATGGTGTCTGTGATGGCCTCCCTCAACCTGCCCTCCAGGAGAGGGGAGTATGAGGTGAAGCCCAATCAGTACTCGCAGGAGCTAGCCTCCATACGGGCTCAACCCAAGGTGAGGGCACACGGCTCCGCTTAATCTCCCATCAAGTTTTTATCATCTGGAGGATTTTTATGGTCATTTTGAGATTTAACTTTTTTTCTTTTCTTCTCAGGGATCTGTGAAGCTGCACTATCAGCGATCTCCACTTCTCTATGCTGACACGCAACCAGACATGACGAGTGACGTGACGGGGTTCAACGCGATCCTGCTCGAGAAAACGTTGTAAGCTTACTCCCTAACCTGACAGAGGGAACTAACCTGTTTTTTTTGTTAAATGTGTTTTAAAAGTCGTCATTTACAGTTTTCTTAAAGAATGCCGAATTTGAATGCACAGAATGGCAAAACCTGCACCCTGGCATCATCATTCTTTTAACCCACCAAAGTTAGGAAAGATAATGTGTCACTGTGCTGTGAACCTGACTTCATCATAAATCATCTGTAGTCACCTTCAGGCTCCAGGGACGAAAAATCATATCTGATTCAAAATCACAGACAGTAGACTGTCCAGAAACTCTGACCTCTGACCTGCCACATCTGAGATGAGACGTAGAAATCATTGAACGGGGTTTGGGTTATGATGAGGTCATTGCAGGACAGAGCCTTTGTCCCTGTTTAGAAAACAGAAGTTCTTTCAATCATAGCACCTTTTAAAACAGAGGACTGCAGGTTTTTGTCTCATTTGTCTTGGAGCACCTGACTATATAGATCAAAGTATTGGGCCTTTTGATGAGTGCCTTTCTTAAAAATCAACACTTGAATCACAAATGGGCTGTTGGTAGGCCTATATGTATTTATTTTAGGGTGGTTAACTTTGTGATTTTATAGATTTATTTTGGGCTCAAAAACGTCATAGAATCGTAATAACATCCTACATTTATTTTGAGTGTGATTTGTGTGTGTGTGTGTGGGGGGGGGGGGATTAATTAAGCAAGTATTGCACATGTAAAGCACATATTGCACATTAAAGCCACAGACCTGCTCACATACAGCAACAAGCAGACATGAACGAGAAGACATCACTTGTGTGAAACAGGGAAAGGATGAACCCAGGTTTATTCAAATTGCTGCTTTTTTGTTAGATATAGTTTTTTTTATATAAACACATCTAAAATATTTGCCTAAGCCACATTGTGTGGATTTTAATCTGCTGCAGTTCAAAGCATTAATGCAAGTACTGTATTACATGCCAAAGTCTTTTTACACTTGTTTCGTATGTGAGAACTCACGCCATTATAGCCATCAAGTTTTACTGTATTCGTAATTTTAATATGCAAAACATCTTCTGCTTTAATTAATGTTAGTTTATTATGTAACTTAGCATGTTTGTTATCCTAGGTTTTGACCCTATGCATTACCCACAGACGGCTGTTGACTCCTTTCATATCGTCATTTGCTCTTAACCTTTTTCCAGCTTTAGATTCACTCAAATGTGTCATTGATAACAGTTTAATTTGAAGTGTATACTATTGTCAGTGGTACCAAGGGATTAATGTATATCTTGAAATGTTAATATTTAAATGAACGTTTCCTTGAAATAAATGTTAATAAAAATGTAAGATACATTTTCCTTTCACCTTAAACTTTGTTTACATGTGATCAGCTGTTCCACAAGTGACTTTTCATCACAGCCCTGTAAAGCCTTTAGTGTTGACTCGGGTAGTGATATTGTTTAAAAATATTTCAGCATTTATTTGAACACTACATACATACATACTGTAGCATGACAAGGCACAGGACAGGAGGATGTATCAACACAAATTACAGGAACTAAACTTCATGCTAATAATTCAGAGACTTTATACAAAAATATAATCACAAGTGATCCGATAGACAAACTAATGCCGGCACAATTTTACAAAACACCAGCCCCATTGGATGATTTGGCTTCATTTTCGACAATTTTCAAACACCGATCTGAAAATTCAACAAACAGAGGCTCCTGCATGGCGGCCTTCATAGCGTCGTCTTTGCTGTCTGCACCGTCAATGGAGCGCAGCAACTGTCTCAGATGGGGGTTGCAAAGGAGATCTCGTAGCTCTTTTGACTGACCTGAAGAGAAATACCAAAACATGAATTACCCACGTCTAATATTTTTGAAATCTTAATTTATGTGGTTATTAGTGTGATGCTGCTGCCAATAGTGTTAAGAACAGACAACGGGTACTGTTGGATTATTACCTAACAGCTTGAGCCTCTGCAGAGGCGCTTCGTCAACGATGTCCTCTTCGTGCAGAAGATCCTCAACAGTCCACGTCTCTGCAAAGACGGGAAGGCAAAAAGGGCTCATCACTCAGGGCAAAAGGTTCGACTGTAGGATTTCGATCACTTAATCTCACAGCCATCTTTGTTGTGCCTTAAACTAATAAAGGGACTATTAACACATTTTGGGAGATTCAGCCAAAATGTTCTGTCCCAATAAAGGTCACTATACATCCCAATAACGATATCCCAATATAGTATGTTTTCTGGTAATTCAATAAATAGCCGATATGAAATAACCACAGTAAAGCCTAATTGTGTATACTCGTGTGTATTAAATACTTGACGAATGAAAAGTACTGACTATAATACAATAGATTAATATAATAACTTAAGTGCAAAATTAACATAACAGTTTAAAGTGCATTTATAGAGAAAAAATGAATACATATTTCCAGCTGACTGTTTACATGCATGCACACTAATATAGAGTAATCAGATTAAGACAATAGTTTGATTACACGGGGGTATGTGTTACTATGTGCTTGTTAATGATGATCATGATACCTCCATATGATTTCATCACAATATGAGTCCATGATTTTGTGCAAGTTGCCCAGTCCAACCTGTTATAATCAATTTGTTTTGTGCTCTTGCTGGCTGGTAAGGACACACTATACAAAGAAATGGGATCAGAGAAATAACTCCATACCAGTGTTGAAAGAATCCGTAGCTTCGGGATCAATAGGTGCAGGCTGCTCAACAGGTAAGCAAGTGTCTGTGGACAAACAAAGAATTTCAATGGTGGATCAGTGGATGATGAGCAGAGCAATATGTCCTCCGAGTATGATCGCAGCTTGTCTAAACAGCACAAAACTACATCACTAAAATACTGAGATCAAGCCCATTTACCTTTATGCCTCTTATAACAGCCAAGTGAACAACTGAAAGAGAAAGAAAAACAATAGGAGTAATTGAAAACAGAAATGTATCCAACAGATCTTTATGACTATAATAATAATACTGAATCAAGGTAATACACAGTGACATCAGTACATACAGTGTACAGATACTGTGTTAACGAGTTACAATGTGATCATTGTAAATAGGGGATAACATATATTACTAACAAAGTAGGTGTTTACTAAATTAAACTCAGAATGAATAATGAGCGAATGGATCAATTCATTTATCGATCAAAACAATTCGTGGTATCATTCGTTCAACAGCGGGAATAATGGCCTGTGGCGTCAACGCATATCGTTTTGAGCTACGTAGGCTGCCGTCCGAATTGTTTTTCACGTGTCATTACAGAGGCATGGTCTGGAAATAAGCGCATATTTTTTTCTGGATTCTTATTTTTTTTTAGTTACAGCCGTTCCCATGTTTTAAAGCGACATGTGTCGTGCATGATTATAAACGTACGTTAAGTTACTGCGCTACGACGTTAACTGAATCGTAATTTAGCTTTAACGTTAGCTCATGGTAGATACTGCTATTTGTATATGTTTTAGACTCTTACGTTAGATCCAACAAACATACTTTTGTGCCAGGAGAACAGACAATATATTGGCTACTGTATTCTCCAATCTCAAATAACTTTTACTTTAGCCAAACAACTCGGTCGCTAATTGAAGGCTAGCTTACATAAAGTTATTTAAAGTTACTTACTATCTTATTTTGCAAACTGGACATTTGTATTTTGGTGTATGTTCGCTGCAAACACTGCATATCTGCATCCTGGCGAGTAGAAGAAATAAGCGACTAACAAATTGGTTATTATGCTAGCACGGCAGCTCCTCATGCATGTGTGAAAACCCGGAAATGAATGATTCGTTTCCGGTTGGAAAGTCCTTCCTTTCAAAATAAAAGTATTTGACCTAATCCACGGTTCATTTTAGTAGTCAAACTCAAACCAAACCCAAACGCTGATGCATTGGCGAACCTCTGGTTCTGCTGAGGAACACTTAACGCTTTCGTTCATCATTTATTTAGGTACATTTTCAATGACTGCAGTGTATTTTCCACAATCCGCAACTGCATATATTTCGAATTCCCAGTCCTCATCATCCAGTGAAATAAAACATTAATTTAGGAGCCTTGTTGGTTAGGGCGAGGTTGGTCTGCAGTCAGTTTCCACAATTAAGTCAAAAAGATGGTCCAAAAAGGACCATACAATTCGAAATGCACAAACAAATCTCTTTCTTGGCTATGGGCTCTTGACCTTGGTGTCTGGATGTGCGTGACACTCCTCTGGGATACAAAAAGTAAATAGAACAGGCCCTCATTCCCCCTGAGAAAACACTGGACACAGGGGAGGGAGACATTTATAGACAAATGTGAGTGACAGAGGAATAAATTCTGCTTTTAGAGAAACTAAAATCACAAAAGAGTAACAGCATCCCTACTAAACCAGCTTTATTAAAAACATGTTTTATATTCTTATTCCCTTATGAGCAATATGAATAAAACAATCCAAGCTGGATTAGTTAACATCAGTTTTTATTGAATCAAAATACGGTATAATATATTGTGCTCCCACATAAATGATATCTACCTCTATATATTTATCAGTCCACACCACTGACCTATATAGCTCAACACAAACTATACTTGCACATCTTTAACTTGAGTAGCAGGTCTTGCTACAGAGAATGGTATGGAGAGCCATCCCGTGACTGATTACTGGGCATGTTCCCGGTGTCACAGCGCTCCATTCTCTGGGTCAGGGAAGGCAGGGAACCTTGGCCATAGTCAACATCAGAAATCCAATTTCGTGTCCAGATCTGTGGGAAGATAAGAATTAAATGGTGATCATAAATGATATCCTGCAACCATTTTCATTATCTATTCAACTGCAGATTGTTTCCTCAATTAATAATTTGGTCTAAAATGTCAGAAAAGACCATATTTCCCCAAAAAAACATGTTGACATATTCAGTTATTTTTTAAGACAAAGTATTATAAATGACCTAATTGATTGCAGATTATTTTGTTTACTGTGCTGTTGTGTTGAAAACTAATCGCAACGAATCCGATTTTAAGGTATCAAAGGAAGCAATTGTTCCACCTGTGCTGTAAACGGTGCATGGTTAGATTTCATTATGATACAAACAGAATAGGGGACTAAAACCATGCAAAAATGTAAATGCTTGATCCATTGTATATGGCTATAGTCTTCCTATGAGAGTGACCAAAAGAGAACAAAAGAGAGTGGAACAAAGCAAACTTCACTTTTGACTGTGACTATGAAAGCAGGCGTTGTTCAACTGACATTTATCGGATTAATCTGCTCGCTGCCCTCGTCTGCAGGATGTCTTTAGTTGTGTAATATACAAGTACATACCCAAGGTTGTTTTTTTCTATCACAAAGGCCGATTGTCTGGTAAATAATAGACACATATTTCAACAAATAAAAAAACATAACTTTCAGACATTATTACCTGCAAACACCGAAAGCCATCAAGACAAGATTTTGGTTCTCCTGCGTTTTATTTCGCTGTTGTGGAATTTTTCTGCTATCTTCCTCTCGTGCCCGGCGGGGCAATGGCGGTTTGTGTTCAGCTCGATTTCTCGCTTGGATCTCCCTTTGCCGCAAGCATGGCACGAGTATTCAAGCAGATTATAATAATCATATTGATCGTAATACGTTTCTTCGAAAGAAACGAATCTTTCCATGTCTGTCGCCATTATGGAGACGGAGTGCAGCGGCTTTGTACCAGACGAGTCTCTGAGCGTGTAAACAGATGAGGTCACTCTTTGTTTATATACATGTAGTCACGTGATCCCGGCTGTGCCACTTTTTGACTTATGGAAATATGGACAGTATGCTTTAATACATATTTCCTGCTGGTTATTTGGAAATATAGATTTTTGTATTGTTTGTTCTACATTTATTTTTTACTTGTATTTCAGCGTGGTTGTCTCTATTTACCATGTTGGATTGAAACTTTGTTTTTGTGTTTTTAGTATAGTTTTTCTGCTCCGTATTTTAAACACGCGCGTGTTATTTGCACGTATGGCAAACTAAACATTCATATCGAATCAATGTTGGGAATCAAAATAGCTGTAATAACAATGTGGCAAACGGGTAGGTAAGAACCTTTAAGGCAGGGGTCTCAAACTCAAGGCCCGCGGGCCGAATCCGGCCCGCCACGTCATTTTATGTGGCCCGCGAATCCGCCAGCAAAAAGAAGCAGCTCTTTGGCTGGTTACTGTACATTTGAAATGGAAATGTATGTGAGTACATTGAAGACTACTTTGAACGTGGCTTTAAAACACATGAAATACTTCACGTGGGATTGTGCAAACTCACCATTGAAAGGATTTTAAGCATTGAACAAAGTTATTGTAATAACTTGTGTTTGATATTTGTCTTTGATATTTTCTTTTAAAGTTTGATCTTTGAGAGAGTAATGTGGGTTTATTAGCCCTAAATTAAAATGATTTAAGTTATAATAACAGAAATGTGCTTAAATATATTTTTACATTTATATAACTGCATGTACAATATTTTTACACTTGAATAAACAATAATCAAATGCAGAGACAGTTATTTACCAATATGTTAGGAGTAGTTACAGTTACAACCGGCCCTTTGAGGGCGACCGTGATGCTGATGTGGCCCAGAGTGAAAATGAGTTTGAGACCCCTGCTTTAGGGTAATGTGTTTGTGATATGGGAATAAATAAATATCCAAGGAAGTTATAGTCATAAATTACACTGCACATAGAGTGGTTATTATCTATGGTATGATGCATTTAAGTTAATGCACACATTCCACTCAACTGTTACTCTTATATGAGAAAATAATTAATACTGTGCATTGTTAGAAACCTATGCATGAACTAATTTGCACGCATATTAGATGATCGAAATGTGTCCGCATAGATAGAAAGTCGGGTTTATGTATGTTTTTGTTCCTCGGCGCAGCGGCCCGCCCCTCACGGTGTGGCACGTCCTGACGCTTTTCCACGTCGCAGTCCTGTCTCAGGCGAACTCGCTGCGTATGTATGCGTGTCTCCAGCTAGGCCAGAGAGTGATGGCGGCGCCCGTCCTGAGAGTGTCCACCCCTCGGTGGGAAAGAATAGCTAGGCTACTCGTTTGCCTGTTGGGCATCCTGTTGTCTCTATATGCCTTTCACGTCGAGAGGGAAAAGGCTCGGGATCCGAGTTTTAAGGCCATGTGCGACGTCAGCAGCTCCATCAGCTGTTCGAAAGTGTTCAGCTCAAGGTAATTTGAATTCAGCAAAGAGCGCTCAATGAAGCCGCTATTGTGCCAACCTGGGAAGGGCTGCGCGGTTCAAACTGTCAGATGCTCCCAGCTAGCATTCGCCGGCTGCCCGCTAACGCTCATGCTAACTGAGGACTGTAACTGCCGGCGTGCCGCGAGCCGGCTGTTAGCTAAATAACCCGAATGGAACAAGTTAACTTTTAGCTTCTCATTTAGTAAAGCACATCATTAGCCATCTAGCTCGATGAAGCTAACTTTGCTAACCGTTAGCAAACGCAACCCATTTGATAACGTTCTACGTTACTTCTTTTCTTATACAGTAACAGCTAGCTGTCAACAGGGAGCCGTCAGCATTGCTGTTCATTCAATCAATCAGTCGATAAGTTGCTGATGGGCTAGCTAAAGCTAAGCGGTCGTATAGGATGCTCTGTTTATGAGAGGGTAACACATCTGTAACACCAACTTTAGCACAAAAGTTGACGATAGCTCGTTCACACTAACGTTGTTGTTGCATGTGTGTCTTTGCTGGACGAGTCCATTCATTCCGCGGACCAGACTAGCATTGTTGGTGGTTAGCTGGCTTAATTTGGACAATTCGGGTATAACTTTTAACCTTGTAGCTAGCGCTCCCGTTAGCTGCCACACTGCTGTCATTAGCTGCCATGCTAACGTCAGTCAGTCCAGGGGGTTAAACCCTAACGTTACACCTCAGCAGAGGGACAGTGCACCGAATCGCCGCAGAGGTCAGAGGAAGGGATTGTAACAACGTTGGCTACCTTAGAGTGTCAGTGCTGCTGACCGTCACACAGTGACACCACATAGCTACATTGTGAGAGACACAGATAAACGCGCTGCTAGAGTTTTACTTCAGATAACTTCATGTGTCCGTCAGACTTATGTCTCAGTTGGTTTACTCACAAAGACTTGAGTTTGCAAGCAATCGATCGTTAAACTCCCCTTTTACAGTCTTAAGATGACGGTTCTATGAAACGCATTCTGTTAAGTTGTCATACTAGCTTGACTGTGGGCAACAATGAATGACACAAGTGAACCCCACCTAGTCAGTCCTATTGAAGGAGACTGTTTGCAGGCCTCGTGAACAAATGCTCATAGCATGGCTGGAATGTAACCCGTCTAGGACCTGTAAGATGAGTGAGCCAAGTCCCAGTCTGAGTATTAGAGACAGTCTCACCTTCATCAACTCACATAAACTGTGAACCATCAGTTCTTCTGACTGAATGTGTTCACAAATAATGAAGTGATGAAGAATCGTAGTCTAAACAAGCTGAACCATCTAATCTCTACTGCCATCAAGGTCTATGAAGTGAATACCCTGTGTTTGTGTGATGCAGGTTATTGTACTGTATTTGTTATGTAGTGTGTTATTGTGTATGGTAAATTAAATGAGATTGATGAACATATTTCACACTAAGAGATGCATGCTGTAAAGAAAGAGATTTTAAAATGGTGAAATACTTGCACAGAGACTTTAAAACTTGCACTATCCTCAACTTTTTAATAGCATTCTTTCAAAGTATTTTAAAGCCCGGTGTTTAGAAGTCGACTGCGGCCCACCTTGGTTCTTTGGGCATGTGTTTGTGCTAAATAAGAAGATTTGAAATGGGGTCTGAGTTATTTAACCAGCCTCTTATCCCCATGCTCCTGCTGTATAGCCTCAGATGAGACATGAAAAAACACAAGAATATTCATACTGAATTAATTCTGACGTTCACCAAAACATGATATTTAAAAGAATAACTGGTATATGAATGAGTGATATACCTATACAGTTGCACGTAAAAGAGAAGAGTGTATATTCTATGCTGGAACTTACTGATTGATTAATATGTACCCAAGTCAGCAGGGTCAGTACTTTGCACATGTATGAGTTGTTATATTATGCAATAACTTAACTTCTCTCAAAACAATTTCTCAAAATGTTTGTAGCACTACAGAGCAGACTCGGACTGTGTGAAAAAGTATATGAAAAATATGTTTACTGAACATGTTGAGTAAGTTGAACATTCCTGTTGAGTGAAACTCATACTGCTTTAAATAGCCTGAGCATAATGACTGCACTGCTATCTTATCTCTTGTTGTGCTGGATGTTGTTGTTGTTTTCATGGAAATAAATCCATCAGTACATAAAAATAACGACGGCACAAAAACTTTAATTTTACTACGGCACAAACGGGAACGAGAGCTGACGTGTTGCACAGGTGTAAAGTTAGTATTGCCAGCATCTTGACAGTTCTTATAGAGTTCTTAGAATCGGACAAACTTAGTGATTGTTGCCTTTTTAAGAGCTCTCCTCTGTTAAATGCACTGAAAAAATGAGTTGGACAACGCCAGCCATGATGGTGGTGGTCATGTCGATATCCATTGTGCTAAAGAAACCTTTTAGCTTTGCAGCATGTGTTTTCTCCTACAAAAAGTCCAGATAGGTTTAGTCAATTAATTGATTAGTTGATCAACAGAAAATGAATCGTCCGCTATCGTTTTGGACTGTTAGTCGGACAAAATGACTTTTTTCTTTTTGTTTGACTCATTTGGTTTTGATAGACTTCAGCTGTTTAGTTTGTCACATTATGTACTCCTGAAGTAAAGTTGTAACTGCCTTCTTTGCCGATGTCTTGGTGCGGTTTAGGTGGGGTCGAGGATTTGGACTCCTGGGCTCAATTTTTGGAAATGACAGCGCACTGAACCAACCCAACAGTGTCTACGGGATCGCCTTTTATGCCTCTCAGCTCCTACTAGGTAAGATGCCACTTTATTCATGTCATCCGTTGGTGTTGCAAATTCAGGTGACGAATCTCCCTAGCCTAGTAACTAGTGCAGACTCAACACTTTGCCTGCCTCTGTCATTGCTGTATTTGCCAAACTTGCCTCACATGACACTGACATCATATTTAGTGGCCAATGTGTAAATATAATAATCTAGTTACAGGCGGCTCATATTTCTTGAAGCTCACCTGAATCAATATTTTCCATTTGTTTGGACTTAATTCTAATGCATTGCTACAGACAGTGGCCTCATTCTTTCGTGTTTATCCCAGTGTAATTTGGCACAAAATATTTTTCCTCGTGTGTGACTTGTTTTAACTCAGTCATGCTGGTTTGCCCGCCGAGTAGCCTGTAGGCTTGCCGGGCCACCTGGCGCTGGCACAGAACAAGAGGTCCTTTTAGCCACCGCAGTTAGCACTCATTTGACTGACACAATAGCAGCCCAGTTAAGCCAAACCGTCACAGCGGGTGAAGATTTCCATATTAAAGGCGAGACCACTCCGTCTCAGAAGTTTCATTATTCTTATGGCCCTTGGACCGTTCAATATGTGCTAGTAGGGATGACTCAAGAATCTGCATATTCAAAGTGTAACCTCTGATTAATGCAAAAACAGGACTGTACTGTACACTCACACGTTGAAGCTAGACACACAACTAATGCTACAGTTGAGCCTTTTCCCATCATGGAATTTCTTTTGGATAATCAATTGAGAAACTATACATGGATAAACAAACGGAATAACCACCAATTATATTTGATTTGTCTGTTATTTAATTTACTGGATTATCCAAATACAAAGTACGTCATCATAATAATGCAGACATTGTATAAGTGATATGTCCAGAACATTGATTTCTGCTCATTGATTTGTGACATACATGTCATGGAAAAATCTTTTGACAACTGGTACATTTATTTCACCTCATGGTGTATATATGGTCCACCCCTAGAACAGAACATGTTGTACTACCTGCCTGTACTACCACAACTTCATTAATGTCTGGTAGTGATTGGTGGTACCTCCTGTTTGACCCCCCCCCCCCCCCTGTGGTGGAAGTAGCACTCAGATCTTTTACTTAAGGAAAAGCAATACCACAGTGTAGAAATACTGTTACAAGCATCAAAGCTTTAGTTCAGTAAAAGTACAGAAGTACTGAAAGTAAAAGTACTCACAACGCAGAAATGGCACATTTCAGAATACTATGCAGTACAATGAATTATATGTTACAGCTGATAAAGGTGAGACTCCTTTTAACTACTTGATTGACTGCTGGCTCGTTGAATCTAATAATAATAATAATATACCATTTATTCGTTTTGATAATCTCAATCTGCAAAGTAACGAGGAAGTAAAGCTGTAGAATAAATGAAGTGAAGTAAAAAGTACGGTTCTTGCCTCTGGATCATCGTGAAGTAGAAATAAAAAATAGCAGAAAATACAATTACTCAATTAAAGTACAAATACCTCAAGCTTATATTTAGGTTCAGTACTTGAGTTGTTCTTTACGTTTTATCACTGGACCTGACGGCATTGTCAGGGTTTCATATTCTACGATTAGTAATCGTGTAAAAACACTGATTCTAGTGAAACACTTGTTATATTAAATCAAAGACTTGTCAACACCGCTCTGTGGTGTCACAACGAGCCCCTCCAGCCCTCAGACATGCAGCGTTACTCGTGCTTTTAGAGCCGTGACTCATTGTGGAACAGCCAAATAGTGACGAAACCTTATCAAAAGAGCAAACTTAGAAAGCCTTCTAACTGTGACCGCACCTCATGGGACAACAGAAGAACATGACCAGTGTTTAAGCAGCATGTCATCACGAGGAGGCTGCTTACATAAATAGAGAACTGTCTGAGGCTGAAAGCTAAAGAGCAGACTCATCAGCTTATTTGTGTGTTTAAAGGTTGCCTTTTTAAAAAAAAAATTTCTTCTCTTCTGCGGTGATTTGCCTAAGGTTTAGTTTGTGTTTTTCGCCGTAGGAATGACTGTGAGTGCAATGGCCGCCCTTATTCTCATGACGACATCCATCTTGTCGGTGGTGGGTTCGCTCTACCTGGGCTACATCCTCTACTTTGTCCTAAAGGACTTCTGCATCATCTGCATCACCACATACGCGCTGAACTTCATTCTCTTTATTCTCAACTACAAGCGACTGGTTTACTTGAACGAGGCCTGGAAGCAGCAGCTTCAGGCCAAGCAGGACTAAGCTGTCGAGAGCCGCAAGAAAAGTGCGACAAACAAACAAACAAAAGAAAAAAAGAAATGTGACCTCTGAACATTTGACTTGCCACCAGGAGACCTTGCTTCCAAACAATGTTTATTCTGCTGTGTGTTTAAAAAGAAAAAAAAACAAAGAAAAAACAAAGAAAAGGAAAAAAAAGAAGAAGAAATTTAACTTAAATGTTGGGCCGGACATCTCAATGTTGCAAACACGGAAGGAGTTGTAAGTGAAAGATGATTTCTCTTTTCATTTCTTTTTCCTTGTTTAACATTGTACTCACTTAAGGAAGGGTGTGTGTGTGTGTGTGTGTGTGTGTGTGTGTGTGTGTGTGTGTGTG